TATTTATTGCTATGTTCTTCCCCTCTTTCTCCTGCTTTGTTTGAGGAATAAGCATTAGTTAAGTATAGATCAGCTGTTGAGCAAGCTATTCATAATACTGTTCCCAGGAGTTCTAGGTTCAGTTATCAACCTAGAGGAAACTTTAGGGGGAATAACAATTCAAGACATAGTAGGGGGAAGCCGTTTGTTCAGAAGTGGAAGGAGACCTTATTCCACCACATCAACGATCACTCCCTCCCAATGAAGCCAGACAGCTGGGTCGTCTAGGGAGTTGGGAAAACAGGTGGACTTCTTCCATATGGACGTACAAGACAATCAAAGGGAGCCTCACATGGACTTGATTGAGGCGCCCTCCCCTAGTGTTACAAAAAAGGGGTCAGAAACCAACCCCCTTACTCACAGAATTTGTAATTCAACTGCAAACAGAGGTGTGATACAAGTGTTGCAGTCAGAGAAGTGTTTCATGTCTCGCCTGTTCCCAGTCCCCAGGAAAGGCAGTGACAAATCCTAGGTACAGAAAGTTTCTAGTGTTTGCAGTGGGGCATGTAAGTTATCAGTTAACAGTGATGCCATTCGGCCTAATAATTACACCAAAAGTGTGTACAAAACTGGCGAAAATCCCCAGGGAGATCCTTATGAAGGAGGGCATAAGAACTTTGGCTTATCTAGAGGATTGGCTGACAGTGGGAAACTCTTTCAAAGACTGTCAAAGGGCGACCCAACATACACTAGTACTAATTCAAAACCTAGGATTAAGATAAACCAGGTTAATTCAAATTTCCTACTATGTCAGAAATTGGATTGGTTAGGTCAGTCTTCCAGAAACAAAGGTAACAGATGTGATAAACCAAGTAGAAGCCTTTTGTGTAAAGCAAGAGGTTTCTTGGCATAATTGGAAAAACTACTGGGTCTGTTGAATTTTGCCACCATAGTACTATAGTTCCTTTGGGCACGTTAAGCAAGAAGCAACTAACTCATCTGGGGTCGAAATTGATTCACAGAAACAAAAATATTGCTTCTTTTCTCCCTATTCAGATAAAGATTCATCTGTCATGGTGGACAATCTAATCGGTTCATCTCCCTGGGTTCCCCCTCGAACAGACTTGGTCGTTTGTACGGACGCGTTTGAGATAAAATGAGGATACCGTTCCTCAAAAGGAGAATTCTGTCAAGGGAAGTGGAACAACTCCCTTTGAGACAAACACATAAACATAAAAGAATTAGCAGTAGTTCTATCCTTTTTGTTGGCAAACCCAAATTTAAAAAACATATCGTTTCTGTTTGCCATGGACAATAGAACAGCAGTGTTTTGTCTCAATCATCAAGGCTCAACCAGATCTTGGCCCCTTCTCACACTGAAAGAAAGAAAAATCAAAGTTTGTGTAACACAAGCACTTTACCTCAAAGCAACTCACATACCGGGAGTACAAAACAATTGGGCAGATGCGTTGTCCCGTCTCAGGTCAGTATCGACTGAAACAGAATGGTCCCTAAAGATATCAAAGTTCAAGAGTCTAGTGAGGACTCCACAAATAGATCTCTTTGCCTCACTAAACAATCACAAGATGTCAACTTATGCATCTCTGGAACGATCGAATCTTTTAGGAAATGCTCTACTCATAGATTGGAACCATTGGAATTCAATCTATCTGTTCCCACCTGTGAAAATGTTGCCCAAAGTGGTTAAAAAACTCAGATCCTTCCAGGGAAAGGTCCTTTTAATTGCAACATATTGGATCCTACATCCGTGGTGTCTGGATCTGTTGGAATGGTGCCCTCATCCACTACAATTGCAACATGGATGTCTAGACCAGGTATTGCACCCTCAGTTCGAGATATCCTTGGCACTTCACGCTTGGAGTTTCTCAAAAGATGTTTAAATAGATTGTTGGGTATTTCCAATATAGTTAACCAAGTGATAGCAGGTCATAGACCCCAAACTTCTATGCAATATGAGAAAGCTTGGAAACTTTTTTTTTCAACAATTTATCAGGTTAACGACTCCAATCACATTGTCGGAAACAGTGGTGTTAGAATTTTTAGACATTCTGTTCAGAGTTAAGGGCCTTCAAGGATCTACAATTGCATCTTATTTATCGGCATTGGTTGACCCTCTGGCATGGTGTTTTAATATTTACTTTGAACCCAAGAATTTATCAAATGCTCAGATCGTCCTTTTTCATTCAGAGACCCCCTCGGCCTAAGAGAATTCCACCTTGGTCTCTAGATAAAGTTACTAAATTTCTTATGGGGCCTAATTATAATATAAATCTGAACCGGGATAGATTGCTCCAGAAGGCAGCCTTCCTTCTAGCAATAGCAACAGGTATGAGAATCCATCATTATTAGTATTTTCTGAGGAAGATGTCACCCCTTTATTCTACGAAGATTCTAAGAAAAAATGATAGTGAGAATTTTCAAGCTCAATCTCAACGGCTAATGGATGAGACAAGGGTTCCTCATATATTGTGCCCAGTTAAGATTCTTCAAGAATGGTTAACCAGATTCCCTAATCGAGTCCCCTATGTATTCTCATCACAGGATGATAAGAAATTGTCTCCCAGTCAAATGACAAAATATTTATCTCAGTGAGTCAAGCAGACCCTGGCCAAAATTTTTTGGCACACGACACCAGGAACTATGCAGGGTCTGTGGTCTTTCTGCGGTATATGAGCTTCAGTCAGATCAAGGAAGCGGGCTTTTGAAAATCTTAAAATACCTCTAAAAACAGCTATCTTCATCTATCTCTGAAAGATGTTTCACATGTGGTGGTACTGGGGTCCCCTCCCCCATCTAGTTATTCTCCACAACCAGGACCTTCTTCTTCCTCATCAGAATAAAGTGAGTATCCTACTTGGATATGTAAATTAACATTTTACCTTCCGGTATATGTTCCTAATATTGGAAAATATTCCAAAAAGTTTATAATTATAATCTGGACCTAAGCTAGCGGAGCCTTATATGCAATGTCACCTCTCTCTCCACCTCCTGCTCGGGTAATCAAAGCTAGACATCATATTCTGGATTGAACAAAAAGCCGGTTTTTTTTCTAAAAACCAGTTTTTGTGATATAGTCCAGAATGCGACGTCGACATCCCACCCATCTCCACCCCTCGAGAGTTGACATTTGTTTACTGCTCCATCTTGGGCAAGAGATGACGGTAGCAATGTGTGTGATGGAGGGTGCGGGAGGGGTTTTTGATAATTGCAATTAAATGCCAGGTAGTGACGTGTCCTCCTAATATTACGTATTTAAGTAATTATTAGATGTTTTAATTGCCTGTATGTTGACCTGGCGAATTATGCTAGGCATTTCCATACCTAGGTATAAAGCTACATGTCGCATTCTGGACTATCACAAAAACTGATTTTTAAGTTTTTTTTTCACATTTAATTTACATTTAATGTTTGTTAAATTTAAGTTTCTAGCAGTCCATGGTGCTTTAGAGACATGATAGGTGTATCATTAGTGGATCCGAGGTGTATTGTTGATTTATTATTACTTGACCTCGGTTGGTTCGGCAAAACGGATAATCCAGCAAGGCTTTGGAACCAAGGGTCCTGGTAAATCGGTGGTGGAACTGAATATGATTTATTTTTCCTTTTCTTCATCATTACTGGCCTCTCACTTTCTCTTCACTCTCCCAGACCATTCACTTGTTTAATATTTTAATTTTCCTTGATCTCCCCCTTTTTTCCTCGACTACCTAAACATTTCACATTTTTTTTCTTCTTTTCGCTATCTTTTTAGCATACAGTAGTTTCACATTTATTCAGCACTGTACAGTATTGTAAACATAGCATTAAAGGTGCATTTTATAATTACAGTGTAGTCTCATTTACGCGGCTTTTGTTTACGCGTTTGGTCATTTACGCGGTGCCTTGCCAGAATGAAATGCTTTAATTACGTGGTAAATTTGGTCATTTACGCAGGTGAAGTATAATTTGTTTACTGTATTTACTGAAGATATGTGTTTTAGCTCATAAAATTCATACAAATTACCCGGCCAGAATATAATTTACATTGCTGGAATTCTTATAAGATTGTGATTATTTTAAATATGAACATCATAAAATTTGCATTAGACATACGAATTTTAGATCTAATGTAAGAATTTTGATTAGAAAGAGCAAAAATTTTATCTTTTGTGCAAAATATATGACGTTTATATTCAAAATATTCCTGGTCTTGCAAAGAATCCAGCAATGTCAATTATATTATCCTAACTTTAGTCTGAGGTATTATTTATTACTAAAACTGTAAGCCTACTGTTTTCACCCAAACATTTCTCAGAGAGGGAGGAGCCAGCGAGTGTGGGAAGAGAGGGGGGGGGGGGAGTTGAGTCCATTATTTGAATGGACATTAACCGGCAACTGTATTTCTCTTAATTATTAATTGTGTGTTCATACCATCATAAAATTAAGATGTTATTTTTACTACAACGTAGGTATTGTGTCGGAAAAAGTGGAGTTTGGGGGTCGGCCCAGTCTCTATTTCAATTAATCCCATATGTTCTATTATTTCATTTACGCGTTTCTCGCTTTACGCGGGCCTACACGGGTTCAATTGACCGCGTAAATGCAGACTCCACTGTACTACAGGTATTATTATTATTACCACATATTTTTTCACAGTTCTACTATTCGACTGACTTATCTTCTGCCAAATCAAAAAGTAAATATGTATACTGTACAAATGGAAAATTGGCCCATGAGAAAAAAGTGGGCAAATCAAGAGCTCAAAAATATAGTTGTCAAGCTACTAGCCAGTTCCCTATAGCATTAACTTGCTCTCTACAGACATAGTCTTTGACCAGGACAGATGTGAGTAAAGTTACGGTATCATTCCTGAATTTGTTTTTGAGAAAATCCACGCTCACTCACCGTCCACACTTGACAACTTATTTATACAGTATCCTCATTATCAATTGTCTGTTCTCTTTTATGCACTGTTGGCAAATACTAGGTATGTTTGGGCTAATGCATTTTTTTCCCAATAGACCAAGCTTGTCGCCTGTGGGAACAAACTTGTGGGAGGAGAGGGTTCTGCTGGCTCTATAATCTGGATGTTTACAGACATATCCTCCATGGTATCCCTGCAGGTAAGTGCAACAAGGGAGAGAATGGGAGGTGGATATATAATAGGTGGGGCTTATATAGTAGAGATAGTACTTAAGGTATAAAGATGAAAAGGGAAAAAATTTGCATAAAAGTGAGAGTATGATAGGGAATATGGGAGAAAATGAGAGTAGCAGGAGACCAGGTTGAAGAAATGGAAGAGGAGAGAGACAACAATACTTGCAAGTGAATGATAAGATAGTGAATGAGTAATTTATTGGATTTGGAATCCATTTTACTAAAAACTGTTACAGTATATAGTATATATCATTATAAGAAATTTTATTATTCACAGATTGTTGTAATTTTCAGGCTTAATGGCTGGCTGTCTGCTGACGGAACTCATTCTGCTATCAATGCACAAGTCCATCCACCTCTACGGGGAGGAGGACGAACCCAGTACGCACACTGTCTACACCACAACCACAGAGGAAGAACGAAAAAACAAACAAGAGATAGATGCTTGCTTATAACCATTATCAAGCACAGCTCTCAGTTCTTATTGGGATTAGATGTTTTACATAGCATTCTGCTACAGCTTAAGAGTTTATAACAGGGTAGAATGTCATGTAATAAGACTTAATTCAAGGCACCCTGCAACATGGTGAGAAAAGGCTCAAGTTAAAAAATAAATCTGAACATATTTATATTTGTACTTGATGCAAAAGTTTAGAGTACAAAGCAAATAAATTTCTTACCACACTTTGCCAGGTGATCTCACGATTGTGGGAAGTTCGAGTAAAAATAAATAAGCTTTGCTGGGTGATGTGATGTTTATTTTTAGATGACCTGGCTACTGGCAGTACACAAATTACAGTACTGTGTGTGTGTGCTATATTGTATTCATCCATTCCTGTCCTTATCATATAAGAAGGTCAAGAGGTGTTGATAACTTCTAGTTACTTAGTACCCTGTATACCATAGGTCCGATACCCAAAGCCTTAAAACACTACTGTACTTAAACAATTCTGCAGGGCTTTCAGAATCAATCTGTACCTGGTACTTTTAGCTGCCTCAACTTAACACTGGTAACCTTCTAGCTGAAATGCAACAACTTGCCAAAGATATGTATAGTTCATGTAATAATATTATCAACTTCCAAGTCAGTAAAACTTTTCTGCATGGCAAAAAGATTATTGTAGTGAAGACATTCTGGAGAAGTTACTGGTATCATTCAGACTTTCTTCATGGCTGTAAGAATTGTGTCATGATTAATGGCACAAAATTGCCTTGTGCACCTTTGACAAGTGGAGTATCACAGGGCAGTGTGTTGGGACTGTTGATGTTCTTTTGCTTCATAAATGATATGCCAGATGTCATTTATTCCTTCATATAAATGTTTGCAGAGGATGCAAAGTTCTTCAGGGAAATTAAGAACCAATAGACTGTGAGTCTACTGAAAGATCTCTATTGGCTGCAGGAGTGGGCAGAGGAATGGTTGTTGTTTCAATAGTATGAAATGCAAACGGGTGCACCTAGACTGTATGACCTATAATAGTAAGGAGGTATATCACATGTCCCAAAGTGGCAAAAAAAACATCAATAATTGAGACCACATGTGAAGAGGAAGGATCTGGATGTGTACGTCTGTTGACAATGAACCATTTTGAAAAGGAGGTAAATCAAAGAACTAGAGTACAGTACTAGGATTTACTCGTATACGAACATTGTTATTCAAAGGTGAGGGACTCCTTCGCTTGGAGTACTAACATCCTGTTTGGTCATCAAGACATGCTAGAGAATGTCCAAAAGAGGGCCACCAGACTGGTGCCTACACTCTAGCACCTCAGGTATCAAGAGAGATTTAGAACACCTACAGTTGTCTAGATTATATGGATACTAAAGACAGCAAGGAGTGATTTAATGGAAGAAATTGATCAATTTAGTATTCATGGAATAAGTGGAGAGACCAGATTCACTGTAAAAAGTGAAAGTGGAGACAACTGTACCTCTTGAGGTAGAAGATTATTGACAATTTTGTTTCGAAGTATAGAAACATTAAGGACAGATGGGCATTATTATTATTACTTACTTTTTTCCTCTTCGCCACTGATCAGATCTTTAGCCGCTTGAGCAGTCGGTCACGTATGTTATGCACTGTTGGCAAGTACTGGCTCCTGAATGTATCAGAACCTGCTGCAGTATTGGTCAAGTCTGGCCTTGAAAAAGCTCACACTCGGTGCCGTCACAACACACTGTGGCAGATTGTTCCAAGACAAGGGCGGATCCAGGGGGGAGGGTCCGCCCCCCCCCCCCCCTTTCCCCAGAAAATTCAAATATTTTTTTCTTTAATGCAGTATTGTACTCAGACATTTTGGTAAAGTACAATTTAATTACTACTGACCTCAGAATATCTCCTAATATCAAGTGCACATGGCTTCAAAATGGGTGGGCTCGCTGTGTACTCCATGTTCCCCCACTCAACTTCTTGGTCCCCCCTTTTGATATTCCTGGATCCACCCCTGCAAGAGTTCACAGTTGGGCATGCAACTGGCTTCTGACACAAGAAGACAATGAAAAGTTAGTCACTGGATGTCTGAATCATTTCACCATTTCATTTCCTTACTGTCACATTGAGCAAGAAGGCAAAGTGCCCTGAATGCTGGCTTTTAAACATCAGTACAGTCGAATGCACTTTTTTTTTTCCTTACAACAATGTATTTTGCAGGCATTAGTGATGTGGTATTGGGATATGCATTTCAAAATAGTATTTTCCTTATTATACTTGGCAATGTTTTTAATGTTTGATATAAAATGTATTTTTAATAAATTTTTACATTTGTTGCATCAGTTACTGTTTTGTTTCCTATTAACCATGAAGGAAAAGGTTTATTGAAAGCCCAATTATTCTGTTGAAGACTATAAGTGTAATAGCTTGTTTGTGGAGGGAAATAATGATGCATTTCTAGAGATGCATATGATTTATGGCATTACAATGTACTGTACATGTTATGAAGTGGTTAGGTTACTTGGCTTTTTTGTTTTTAAAAGGTGGGCTATGCCCAGGGACAGGTCACTGACCCACATCAGGGCCTCGGGAGCCAAAATATAACAATAATATTAATAATAACCATAAATAAATACAAAGATGAAAAAATTAATCAAGAGTGAGAAACGATATACAGTATCTATGTTGTGTTGTCAATAGTAAGAGAAACAATTGAAACCCTGCAATTGTGTGTAAATGAGGCAGAAAGTCAGATCAGCACTCTTGGACATGGTCACAATTGTTTTGATGCCATATGGCAGCAGGGTCTACCATTAGACAATATATTATGCTTCCAATATCTCCCCAGGCAGTAGTACTTCCCTGTTTGATAGCTGTCTACTCTACCTACTACAGCAACAGTCTCTTCCAATTCCTACCAGCCTCCCACATTCCCCTCTGCCAGCCTCCCACAGTCCGCCCTACCAGTCTCCCACAGTCCTCTCTGCCAGCCTCCTACAGTCCTCCCTACCAGCCTCCCACAGTCCCCTACCAGCCTCCCACAGTCCCCCTACCAGCCTCCCACAGTTCCCCACCAACCTCCCACAGTCCCTCTACCAGCCTCTCAGTCCCCCTGCCAGCCTCCCACAGTCCCCCCAACCAGCCTCCGACATTCCCCAACCAGCCTCCCACAGTCCTCCTACCAGCCTCCCAGTCCCCCCTGCCAGCCTCCCACAGTCCCCCCTGTCAGCCTCCCAGTCCTCCCTGCCAGCCTCCCACAGTCCCCCTGCCATTTTGTGTTGTCTCGTATTGTATCTGGAGGCCATAACTTACAGGACCTTTGGAGCTCCTGTAACAATAAACCTGGACATACAGGTTTTTTTTTTCCAAATTGCATAAACAGCATAATCCTGCCAAGTTATGATAATCCTCATTAAAGCTGTTTTCAATGGAAAATAATATTAAAAGATATATTCTAATCAGTTAAAAACTATCTTATATAAAGCATCAGTGTTTATGTTTTACTAGGCAAGATGGAGCTGATCGATGTACTGTATATTTAAACGATCGAGCTTTGCTACGTGAAAGGAAGTACAGAGACCGTTTGGACCCTCTTACACAAGTGATGAACATATGCTGAGGTTCTACATGTTTCCTCAATGTGAAATTTTTAAGCAGTACAACATGTGATGCGCCTTCTTACAGCTGGTACGTCCCAGGTGCATCCTCTTACACTTCGTGACATTGAATCTTAGCAGCCATTTCTTCGATCATTCTTGAAGGTCACAGAGATCCTTCTGCAGATCATTCCTGAATAACTTGGCATCGTCCTCAAACATTTGTATGGAGAAGTATATAGCTTCCGGCATGTCATTTATGAAACAAACAAACAATAACGGGCCCAGTGCACCGCCCTGTGGTACCCCGCTTGGCACTGGTACACACAAGATTTAGTATCATCGGGGGCGGATCCAGGGGAGGTCCTGAGAGTCCAGACCTCCCTTTTCATCAGAAAATTACAATACCTTTTCTTTAATGCAGTATTCAGGCGTTTTTGGAATTTAAAAAGTAATTGTTACTGACCTCAGAATAACTCCTAATATTAAGTGCACATGGCCTCAAAATGTCCATAACATTAGTCAGATTTTCAAAAAATTTCAGGGGGGCTTATAGCGCCCCCATCTGGGTGGGCTCGCTGTGCTCACCATTTTCCCCTACCCATTAATTCCTGGATCCACCCCTGACCATTAATCACATGGGTGGTGTGACTTTTACATGGATGCTGTGACTGAGGCATGGTTTTTTTTTTTTTTTCACGTCCCTACATCCTTGTGTAAGGTGAAGCGCAGAAGCGTTTACAGCGCCCAACAGGGAAGCATGCTAAGTTCATGCTTGCCTTTATGTCTCATGAGTTAAGGGCGTAGAAGCCTGAAGAGTCAAGGGCGTAGAAGCTTGAAGAGTCAGTGGTTTATGTCATCAAGTTATTGGAAGCTCCAACAACTCCCTGAATACGAATTCGCAACTTTCGACTTACAACAGGCACCTACTTTACTGCTAGGTGAACAGGGACTAATGGGGGCTAGGAAGTATGTCCAAACAACTTCCACCGGCCCGGGAATTGAACCCGTGACATCTCGCTTGCGAGGCAAGAACAGTACCACTTCTACCACCGGTCCCCCATGAGGCATGGGTTGTGTGGCTGAGGCATGGGTGGTGTGATTGAGGCATGGGTGGTATGACTGAGGCATGGGTGGTATGACTGAGGCATGGGATGTGTGACTGAGGTATGGGTGATGTGACTGAAATATGTGTGGTGAGACACAAAGGACTAAGGAGAGTGCATCCCAGACCCCTTGGCCAAAGACCATCTAAAGATGGTCTTTGTCTTGGCGCTCTAGACTGCAAACCTGGAAGCGTCCCAGACCGCCAGTCACCATGGGGACGCCCCAGACCTCCAACCGCTTCTCGGGGCACCTCAGACTGGCAGCCATCCCTGGAAACACCCAAGGTCGCACCCTTAGGTGCATCCTTTTGCATTTCGTGATATTGAATCATAATAACCATCCTTACCATTTCCTCCAATATGTCCTGGAAATCACGCATCCTTAACATTGCTAAAGCTGCCTCCCGAAAGTTGGGAATGCTGTACAGATGCCGTAGCTACTTCACTCCTGAGCAGTTGCTTCAAGTATATAAGGGATTCGTTCATCCTCACTTGGAGTACTGCTCTCATATCTGGGGTGGCTCTTCTTCTGTCCAACTGTTAGATAGGGTGGAATCAAAGGCATTTTGTCTTATTAACTCTCCTCCTTTAGTCGACAATCTTTCTTCCTTTCTCTTCGCCGCAATGTTGCTTCACTCTCTCTCTCTTACATGTACTTTAACGGGCAACGTTTGGTGGATTTGGCATCCTGTGTACCACCGGCAAGGCCGTGGGCTCGTAACACATGTCTTGCCCGCGGTGCCCACCGTTTCTGTGTGGATGTCGGTCACACTAGAAAAACCCGTTATAGTACATCCTTCTTTCCTCACACAGCCAAACTGTGGAATGCTCTGCCTTCTGTGTTTCCATATTTATATAATCTGTCTCACTTTAAAAAGCTTTTTTCCGGCATCTTCGTGGTGTAGATTAACACAGTACTGTATGTATGATATATATGGACACAAAGTAGTACCTTCAGCTGTATATTGTTATATTACTATTATTAATTATGTATAGTAAAGTATTACAGAACATGTATTAATTCTATGTAATATTCTATTTATTGTGCACCATATTATGTATATAAATTATCACATTTATACTTTATGTATTCAGCTTGTGAATGCTGGCATCTGTATAGGCCAGCGCGTAGTAATACATAGATAGATGTAGAGGTAGTTAAGACTGAGTCCTGGTGGCGTGCCCACAGGCTTCCTACTGTATTATCTCCCGTACGAGAATAGAACCTACTTTTAAAGACAACAAGTGTTTGTATATACCCTCAGTAATATAGAACATTCTTTGGGTATCTGGCAATACGCTAGATGGCGCAGTGATTATTTCTCAGTGAGATTCAGTGGACCAAGACTTCCCCGGACTCTGTTTATGGCGTCTCTTCCACTTCAGCCGACAGCAAGACTACTACAAGCCCCTAGACTTACAGTGTTGTGAAGTGCTATGCTGTGTACAGTGCTATGCTGTGAAGTGAAGTGTTTTGTGAAGTGCTGTGCTGTGTATTTTAATCATAATTGTCTGTGCAAGTTGCGGTCAGCTGACTAAGGGAGCGACCCGACAGTACGTGCTCTCCCGTCTCTGGTCTGAGGGTGACTGAGGAGCTACGCGACGCTGGCCACTCGCTCCTACGTCTGGCAGCGCGCCAAGTCTCTCCCCTCCCGCCAGGCACACACACACACACACACGCATTCACCTTATATTTCTGGTGACTTACTGTAAACTTCTGTAATTCTGTGCATAGATTACGAGGGGCTGACCCGGTCTTTTGCACAGATAGAGTACGGAAGCAGTCGGCATGTCTCACAGGGATCATAACGATACCCTGGACGATGGGGCTACGAGTTTTAGTGTGGGAGATCTCTCCCCACCCACCCACACTCCCCACAGTGACAATGCCCAATCACCCACAGAATCTCCTCGCTCGTCGCGAGCCAGCTCTCCTGCGATACATGCGTCCACAGATCTCCTTCAACTGATAAAGTGGATGGAAACTTCTCGACGCCAGGACGATATGGCAAGGAGAGAAGAGGAAGAAATTAGGTACAAAGAGTCTGAAAGACGACGCCACAAAGAGGAACAAACACGCAGAGAACTCGAAGACATACGTAGACGTGAGGATGACCTTAGAAGACAGGAGGATCAAGCCAGATTTGAAGCTTTGATTTCTCTGTTAGCCTCCCCACAACGTTCTACCGTACAAGATTCGTCTGCTACAACTGATGTTGATGCGACTAGAGGTACTGGTACCTCATTTTCCAGAGTCGGAACAACACCTCAAAAGGCTGCTGTACAGACGCCTCCCTCTCTGATGTCTGACGCTTCTTATCAGATGTTTCGGGAATGGCGTCGACGTTGGCAAGACTACGCAACAATGGTTGACTTGTCCAGTTTATCACAGCCGAAACAAATGATCCAGCTTCGTATGTGCTTGTCCTTAGAGACACAACGTACTCTCGAGCACACACTTCAAGTGCCTCCTACGACAACTCTGACGGTAGAGGCCGTGCTCGACAAGTTGCAGGAACACGTCAAGGGACAGCGCAACGAAGCACTCAGGAGAAGACAACTCCTCCAATGTAAACAGCTTGATGGAGAATCTTTTGACGCGTTTTTTGTAAGGCTCAAAAGGTGTTCAGAGGAAGTTGA